AAAGTTTAACGATATTAAAACTCGAGCAATACATTTGTATAAGTGGAAACTGCATTTGTTTTTTTTGATAAAAATGAAAAAATTCCACGCAAGGGTTAAACTAAAGTACTGATATATTTGTTGATTATCAATAGTAAAAAAATACACATGGTTGTACTATACATACAGTTTTCCTTCGATCATTTTATTATATTGTGTCAGCAATAGCAATGGACACACGTTGTAATGCACGATGCCGTACTTTGTACATAAATATATCCATGCGTACATGCATACAAAGAACTTGTTGTTTACCATATTGTAGAATAAATCTCGTACGAGCATATTGTTATGTGCGTATATGTATTCATAATTTGATAGTATAAAGCTAAGCGAGTTAAAGGTTCGAAATAAAATTAGATCCTATAAAAAGCAATCAAAGTTCCATGATGAATTTGAACTCGAAAAATATTAAATTAATCTTGTATACTATTCCTTTGAACTATTCATTACTCTTCCTATATATTTATGTATTTATTCTATATCGAAACAAAACAAAATAAAAAAAATAAATAAATTGTGGTATAAAATATAACGTAATAGTTTGTATAAATAATTTATTACAAGAATTTTGTAAATTTAATATTACTGTGCTTAATAGCGCCGAGAAGAGAATTTTAAGTAGGGCATAGTCTACAAACAATTAAAGGATCCGTCGTGTTTTGTCAAAAATATACTACCTGAAATTTAAAAGCCTGTGTGCTTTTAATTCCTACTTTGTCAGTGTAAAAGTGTCCCATCGCTTAGAAGATATATTTCCTTTTATTATATAATCATAATCAAACGATTATTTGATTATGATCATCAATAAATTTTCTAAATCATTGCATTTCGAGAAACGAGATTTATATCTCTTATATCAATTAAAACTTACAAGAAATTGATGATTCTATTACAAATATGGCTAACGTAAAAATGATAATTTAATTGTAGAATTTAAGGATACAATCATGTTAAAATTATCATTCGATTAACACACATTCCATTCTATTTGCTGACGCTCGAAATTGTTTTATAATCTCTATTAATTTTCCTTATGTTCGTTTAAAGTAATTAAAAGTCTTATTTCCGTTCGAACATTTTCAGGTAGCTCGGTTTCTTGGTTGATCGTGCAACCTTTGTATCCTTTCGAACAGCTTCGCATAATAATTTATCGATACACTTCTTAAATTCGTCTACTTCTGACTGACAAGCCAATGTGTTGTTTTTATTGTTTTTCAAACAACTTGTAACCTTCAATTTATAATATTTTATTCACAGTTTTTGTAAAATTTCTGTTTGCAAAATTTTATTTGAATAATATAATTCGAAACAATGGGAGGGATTGGGAATCAGGGTATACAATATGTGAATTCCCTTGTTAACTAATCTGTTTTTTTCTCAATAATGATTGGGTTGACGTGTCTGACCACTACTTACTATTTCTACTTAAACCGAAGTTCGAATGGTATAGTTTTAGAAATATATTATGTTACTGTATACTTTCTACATAAGAAAAATGCAAAAACTTTTTATTTGACGCTTACGATTATTTGAATAATGGAAAAGAAACGCAAATATAATAAATTCTGAGGTCACAAAAGTATTCGGATACTGAAAATTAATCTGATAGAATAAAACTAACAGTCGTTATTCGAAGATAAATATTTTTTTGAAATATCAGTTTTATTGGACAACATGTATGCATATTGGAATGCTAGATTTAATTTCTTTTCAATGGTAAACGTGAGTATGTTGCCACTTTTCACCCTATACATTTCTCGATAGTGATCAGGTCAAAAAATGGTGAAAATGATTGTAAAACATTTGTACAACGATGCAACATTTTTAAACAAGCCAACTCAGAAGTTGTCATTGCAAATCTGCTGTTTTTTTCATGAGCAGCTCGATTTTTGACAGAAATAAATTCTTACCCTATTTGTATCCATAGGACAAGTTTGTTCAGACTGTGCGTATGCATATCTACTAAGGCTATTAAAAAGTTTGACTGTATCATTTTCACTTATTCCAGCTTGTCTAGTATGTTCTTCGTCAATAGTGGCCAATTTATTGATCCAAGAATCTTCATTGTTTGGATTCTTGCTATCATCGTTTGGGTACTTGTCAACAGAGACTTAAATAAGAAAACTTCAAATAATGGTTTTTCATTAATTTCTTTTCTTTTTATCATCTTATACGATAAATGTTATTGTAATCTGTGATTTGATTTAGGTTGGGGAAAAAGAAATCCATTATTTTGTCGGTAGATGTCTGTAGTGATCGATATCTCGTAAAGTATCGATCAAACAATTTTAGATTTATGCTCTTTGCAAGGTGACATTTCACACTAAAAAATTTCTTTTGTTGTTTTTTATTTGGTCTATTCAGTTGTGAGTTACAGGGTGTTAAAAATGGAAGTGAAGAAAAAGAAAATTCGGTACATTTTATAGTTTTTCGTTGATAAAGGCGAAAATGCAAGCCAGGCGGCTGAAATTGTAAATAGTGTTTATGGTCCCTATACTGTAAGGGCTAATTACGTGCAATTTTGGTTTCGTCGATTCCGTTCAGGTATTTTTGATGCTAAAGATGCACCTCGCACAAGCAGGTCCGTCGTCGAAAATGTCGATAAAATTACAGAAATAATCGAAGTTGACTGACATGTTAGTAGTTGTAGCATCGCCCAGGAGCTAAAGATCGACCATAAAACAGTTTTAAACCATTTGCAAAAAGCTGGATTCAAAAAGAAGCTCGATGTTTGGATGCTACACCAATTAACACCAAAAAACATGATGGATTGAATTTCCATCTGCGAAGCCTTAGTCAAACGGAATGAAATCGACCCATTTCTTAAACGGATGGTGACTGGGGATGAGAAATGGGTCACATACGACAATATTGTGCGAAAACGATCGTGGTCAAAGCGCGGTGAAGCAGCTCAAACGGTGGCCAAACCAGGACTAACGGCCAGGAAGGTTCTGCTATGCATTTGATGGGACTGGAAAGGAATCGTTTATTATGAGTTCCTTCCATATGGCCCAACACTAAATTCGAATCTCTACTGTCAACAACTGGACCGTTTGAAGCTAGCGATTGACCAGAAACGGCCAGAATTGGCCAACAGAAGAGGTGTTGTGTTCCAGCAGGACAACGCTAGGCCACACGCGTCTGTAGTGACTCGCCAGAAACTCCGGGAGCTTGGTTGAGAAGTTTTAATGCATCCACCATATAGTCCGGACCTGGCACCAAGTGATTACCATCTTTTTCTCGCATTGCAAAACTACCTGAGTGATAAGAAATTGGCATCAAGAGAATATTGTGAAAATCGGTTACTAGAGTTTTTCGCCAATAAGGACCAAGATTTCTATGAGAGAGGCATTATGAAGCTACCTTTAAAATGGCAATAAATTATAGAACAAAACGGCGCATATTTGACCCAAATCGGAAAATCCGAAACATGTTAAATAAAGTCTTGAAGTTCACGCAAAAATAATGGATTTCTTTTTCCCCAACCTAATATTAAATACAAATATATATTATCTTGTGCAAGTAGTGGGCGGTGAAAAGATTAGTATCCACTAGGGGAATATTCAATGATTTTCTGTTTAGTTTAGTAAATGTATGATAATGTAAACAAATGTAGACAGATTAGATAATGTCTAGATATTTCTCCATATTTTGAACATAGATTAAAAATTAAATAAGATATTTAGATGTCTTGAGAAATATCTTTTAAAAATCCAAAAAATTAAAATCATTTATATTAATTATTTATTTAAAAAAATGAAACTGATTAATCATACATATATATAGAAGGAAACTAATAAGAATGTAAACGTAAATTTGATCTATTAATAACATATCATTTTACCAGTTTCTAATTTTCGAAAAATCGAGTCGCTGATTTGTATTGAATTAATCGGTTCCGATGTTTCTTTCTCAGGCATTGAAGATTTTTCATTCATCTTTCAAATCTTTAATTACATGACAATTATAACCTTTTTATTTTATTTCTTTATTGCCTGAATATCGTTGAATTGATTCAAATCTATTCGGATTGTGTTTTCTTTTATTAATTGTATAGTGTGTTAAGGAAATTGTTGCAAAGTTCATTTTAAGGAAAAATTATACTAAATTTAATGTAGAAATAGTTTTTGTCTTCTAGTAACAGTCACGAAGCAGTTTTTTATTATTGATTTTATGCAAAGTTAATCAGTCTATTATTTTGTTTACTTATGTGACAAGGTGGATAGTTTGAACAACATATTTATAAATGTTTTACTTGTAAATGTTGAGTTTATATTAAACTGTTAATTTGTTTTGAATGTTTGTCATTATTTAGTTTCTTGCCAGGATGGTCCTTCGATCCCTGGAGATTTCGTTTTAATTGGTACACCAGGTATAAGCACCCACATTCCAAAATGGTTCTTGTAAGCAAACGTGGAACTAACATTCATGATGGAAAACTTAAGTTTGAATAGAGAAAGAATTTTATACTCCTCACTAATTTCCAAAAAAAATCTGCTTATATGCAATTGTATTCTATATATTGTTAATAAGTTTTATTGTACAAATGTTGTTCACCATCTTTTATATAAATATGTAAACAATTTTATTTTATTATTCAGTCCTTTTCAGAATAAGTTTACTGAATTTGTTCTAAATTACTAATCAACTGCATCACTACTCAAACATTTATTTCAATATGGGCGCATCAGTTGGGAACTTCCTAAGAAAGAAACAATCTATAAACAAAATGATATAATAAAAATATTCTTATTTTAAAAATTCAAATATTATAGCTTATAAAAAGTTGACACCATACTCTTTAATATAATATTTATGAATTGTTCCACTTGTGTGATTAATGGACGTACGTATGTAATTGAATATAATTTTAATTTTTGTGATTTTTATATATTTTACTGTTTATTTTCATGCATAATTTGTAGTAATAATTTCATTACAGGTAATAGTAATTATACATATGATATTATATAATGCTTGAAATATAGTTGATCTAAAAGAAGATCTAGAGAATTGCTATTTAATTATTTTGTCGGCTTAAAAAAAATAGAATTAATTGTCACTTATTTGTTTGATGAACGGTTTGGAAAAATTCTAGTCTTGCAACTGTTAGAACCAAATATATAGAAATCAACATTTTTCTGGTATATATTTTAAAGTGCAATGCCAAATCTTGTCATTGCTCCAGTATAAAATAATATATAAAATATATATAATGCAAACTAATTTATCTTTTGCATTAAAAAAAAGGAATGTATGTATTTCGTAATCACATTTCGTTTAAAAATTAATCACATTCACGAACAAAATATTTTCAATGCAGCAAATTATTGTTTATGCTGTAATTTGTTAACTCTTTGGTCACCGACAATTTTTTTTTTTGCAAACTTAGCTGCCATTCATACAGTTATTAACAGTATTTATTTACTAATATGTAGACAGCGAATGTTTATTCAGACTTATCAAGTAATACTTTCAACTTATTCCATAGCTTGAAATAGCTTGTATATTTTATTCTAATACTGGTTGTTTTATGTTTTAAAGTTGAATAAAACTAATGTCATGTTAATTTTCTTTTATTTGAGAAACAGAGAGCACATGTCTTTAAGAGACAAGAGAGACGTGAGATAGTTAAACGATATATGAAAATAATCTGTAATTTCAATGTATTATTAACAGAATCGAATAGATAATCGAAATAGACCAGCACAATTACCTGAAAATATGTATAACATTTCTATACATTATTATAATCAGAAAATTTATATTACATTTCATAAAAGTATGCATTTGCATAAACATTCGGAGTCTACAAATATCCATTCGTATTTTTCATATTGAATTTGATATCATTTAAAAAAAATCTGCATGATTTATATCTGCGGGATTTGACCGTCACGAATTTGGTAAGCTTTTCATCTTGATGACTTATCCGTCAAACCTTGAATAACATGATAATCTCTCAATGTGTGATTAATTATTTTAAATACTGATAAACATGGGAGTATTTATCTTGAAGAATTTTATCGAAAGACAGTAAAGCATTTTTCTTAATTCAGCATCGCGATCAGAAGGTATTTCCACGCAGCTGTGCAATCGCTCTGGAAACAGAGAAAACAGAAGTGTTCTCGTTTTATGTTTTTATTACAAAACGAACAGCACGTTGTACGCGTGCGAAATTTATTAAAAACAGATAATAGATATTACAATAATGTGGATTGCGTATTATTAACATTTATGTTAGAGATTCCCGAGACATTCCCTTCCATGATTTTCATTAATTCAAAATTGCGATCAGAAGCCGCTTAAATTCTTCGCCGCAGTCACTCTGTAAATGCAAACAGAATGTGGGAAAAATTAAAGCAATGTTAATGCTAAACAAATGAAATAATACTGTATTTATATATAAATGTCAGGGGATACACGCATGCACGCACGTTTGTGAAGCAGTTCTTAATTAGTGGAATTAGTCCGTTCGCCTGTGACTCATCGATTAATCAATAAATTTCAACATACAATTTTTAATAACAACAGGGAAATGATTAATATAATTTATTGAGCTGGTCTCATAGAGACTAATGTGAATTGTGTACGTATAAACGAGGCACTTATGCGGTAATATCACTGTAACAGAACTCCCGACAAAGGCAAACACGCAACACCATAATCACCGTTAATTATTGATCTAATTTAGAAGAATGAATTAACTTTAAGCGTCTACAAAGCTTCGAAGTCTGTCACGAAGTATTATCCCTGGTATTACAGTGTAATAGAAAAGAAAAGAGGCTGTTGAACATAAAATGTTTTCATCCAAGTAGGGCAAGCAACAGTCTCTTGTAGTCTCCCGAGCAGTCATCCTGAAATTCATGGAAAGTCATGGACAGCCAACGTATAGTAAAATAAAAAGTTAAATACAAAGTGTGTGGGCACTAGTATTAAGGCAGTATGTACAGTGTGCACAGTTAATTTGATGAAAGTACGAACGTAAATGAATGTTTCTGCAAAACGATATAGAAACAAGTCATTTCTTATCAAATTAAATAGATCCTAGCAGAAATTAAAATTTGTCATTCACTTTTACAAAATTTGGTTATTCTGAATTCTTCGCGATAATTCCATTGCTGTTAATAGTATTTAAATGACAAAAGTGTTTTTTTTTTTTCTAATAAAGATAACAATGGTGATTTTGCAGAAACATTTTTGAAGAATTCTATGTACATCACTTGTTTAACTTACGTCAATGTCACCTGCGAGTGACTGTCCGTAGACATTTTGATAGGTTTCTTTGATATCTCCTAAATCGATTTCTGACCGTGCCACGATTATGCGTATCAATGTTGAATCGTCGGTGCCTAATCCACGCATCGCTTTGTATAGCCGTTCCGCAAAATATCCAGTCTTATCTCGAGCACATTTCACTAAAACAAATCGGTAAGACGTGGAATTCATTCAATATCACCATTTATCTCTACTCGTGTCATGTAAAAGATTTTTGTAATAAATACAATGATGATGGAAATTAGAATTATATATATTAGTTGTACAGATGAATAATCCAATTTTTTCAGCCACACTCAATGTTTATTTTAAGAGAAAATTGACTTTAAACTTGATTTTATAACTGCTTAAGATAATTTGGATTATTCATTTGTACACCTAATAACAATTGTTAATATTAGTAACAATTTTTAGATGATAAATAGTAACCAAATAACCTTCTCGGTGTATTTAATACCGTTAATGTGAAAATCCAAAACTCTCTCAGTTTTAAAAGAAAATTACAACCGTCCTATTCACTTTTCAGTCGTTGACAGGGGAAACTTCCCCTATTACGTTAGTATTCTTTGAGTAAAATATCAATATTTCTTACCAACTGCAAGGTAACCATCTTCAATGGAGCCTGAGAACTCACTCCTGATAGTTTCTTCGAGACAATTTCCGGAAAGACGTTCATATTCCTTAAAGATCTTTCTTAATTGAGGGAAACTTTTAGAAATGAGGATAGCATTAAATGTACTTTCGTCTGTTCCCCATTGGCCTTCACCAGCCTCAAGAAGTTTCTCAGCATCTGATATTGCAGCCTGATCGTCAACGTCGCTACTTTCGTTCCTGTTAGCCTGTTAACATAATTTAAACAATTATATTAATAATAAGGTATTATACAGGGTGTTGGGCCACCCCTGGGAAAAATTTTAATGGGAGTAAAAAATTATTCATAATTAAATTAAAAAATTTCAAATCATTCTGGAAAAATTATTTTCAGTTGCAGGGGTCAATTACAATCATTTTTGGTCAATACACATATCCTCGAAATCCTACGTACTTTCGAGAAAAAAATTCAGGAAGGTGAACAAAGTCGACAAAATTAAAAAATTTCAAATCGTTCTGGAAAAATTATTTTCAGTTGCGGAGGTCAATTACAATCATTTTTGGTCAATACACATATCCTCGAATTCCTACGTACTTTCGAGAAAAAAATTCAGGAAGGTGAACAAAGTCGACAAAATTAAAAAATTTCAAATCGTTCTGGAAAAATTATTTTTGTTTGCGGGGGTCAATTGCAATCATCTTTGTTGAATAGACATACCCCCGAAATCCTACGTACTTTCGAGAAAACGATTCTTTATCGAAAATATACTGTGTGGCCGGAAATGTTTTTAACGAAGCCTCAATCAACAAATTAGTATCCTTGATTTTCGTCTTATTTTGGGGTCTAGAATCTCCCATTAAAATTTTTCCCAGGGTGGCCGAACACCCTGTATACAAGGCGAGGCGCGTAAAAGAAGTTACTTAAATAATATCTTCACTTTTAGAAACGAAGGAAATGTTTCAGAGAATATGCATAATGTTGTTTACTAAAATCGTTTTATTTTTAAAAGGTAAATAGAACTTGTAAATAGTAATGTAAGAAACATTACGTTTATTATTTCTATTTTCATTATTTATGAATAAAAATGAAATATCGTGCAGTCAAAGGACAAGAAAAGAAATGAAGCATTGACAAAATGCTGCTTGCTACGATTGAAAATTGTTATATTAAAATTTACTTACGCAACAGAGCGAAACTAATAGCCTCTTAAAGTGACCGGAAGTATCGCTTTTCAGATCATCCTCCAACTCGTTTCCGTACACTGAAAATTTTTCATTTTATACGAATATAATAGTTGCGTATTAATATCTATAATTGTTGATACATTTAAAGTGAATTAAAATGGCGGAATTTCTTTCCTTGGAGTTATAATAAATCCACGGAATAGCAATGTTCTTATACGTTGTAATAATTGAAAGAATAACAACTTACGGTCCTTATAGACAGCGGATATGGTCTTAATGCCATAATTACTGAGGGATGCCAACACTTCGACGAGGGCACCTTCGTCTGTGCCCATTCCGGATATCGCATTATGAAGTTCTTTTGCGTAGTATTCCGGCAATGGTGTCATTAGTGCTAAAATAGCTTTCTCGAAATTGCCACCAAGTTCTGATTTCAGTTCAGAAATCAAATCTTTTCCGTACATCGTTTTGAATTTATCGGCTATTTCGAGTCGTTGTACGATGCCACGACGGGCGAGCACATCGATGATGGTTTGTTCATCAGTGCCGAAACCTTTCATGGCGGTTCGTAGGAGAGCTGCATCCTCTTCTGCGTTGAAAGGATCGGCAGGATATATCGTTGGCGTGCACTAAAGAAAACGAAAAGCAAGAAATGTCTTCCATAACTTTTCTATAATCCATAAAACTGGTGTGATTTTAACTTTAAAACCGTCGATTATTCACACATTTGAGTGTGAAACGTCTGTGGTGGCTCACTTCTATGGAGGAAATGGGTACAGCGAGATAGATGAAGGAAAGAAAAGAAAAGAATATAATAAGGCATCCCTAGCAGGTCCTAATTTAGACGTCAGGATATTTAATGGTCATCCAAGGAGGATATATGTATATTGGAATAGGTGAACTCTTGTGAGAGAGAGTAGCCCTCTACTGGCGAGTGAGGGAGTGATGGGAACAAATACAGGGATATAATATCATAGGGAAAATAATAAGTTTTTATATTTTAAACTCTCGGTAGAAATGAAAAATAAAATCTGAATTTTTTATCTAACTGAAAAATTACACAGATTAACAATTTAACGTTTTTGTTAAATAGCAATTCTAATTGTTGTTCTTAAATGTTATTTGCAATAATCACAAATGTAATTTGTTATCGTAATATTGTACAAATAAGATACTGCACCCTCCTGTTTTCATGGTGCTTCACGTGATTAGCCACAACTTTTACACTCATCAACATTTCTTAAATAAGTAGATTTGTAGTTTATTCTATATACTTTTAGGTAGCGGATAAAATGTCCACGTGCTATGTTATTTTTCAGTATGTTGGTGTAATCTTGTGAAAGAATTTCTTTTGTACAAACAAACGATTTCTAGTAAAATGGCGTTTTTATCTAGGTTGTTATCAATAATGTTGATTTAGCAAACGTCTGTCGTTAAAAGACTAACAATAAGTGTTTAAACGGAATATCAAAACACAAAAATCACTACAATCTCCTGATATATGAGTCTAGGATTAATATTTCCAAACATTGTTAATTTATCAATATTCTAAGTTAACAACCACTTGAATTGTAAGTCAAATACATGCTCTTAAGAAAACCCGAATTTCTAAAATTCAACTCTATAGACTGCAACCAGCTCACGGAAAACATTAATTCATCGACACTTCCGCTTTCATGACATCTAGGATACAAACCATCTGCAAATACAATATTACGCTCTTTACCATATTTTTATACATAACATTAACACAAAAGCAGCTAAAAATAGCATAGTAGTTTTCTTTTGACGTAAAAGTTATAAAAAGTAGAAAAAAGAAACATTGAAGATTCTGTCATAATTTATTTAGTATTGTACATTTCTTCGTCGATATAATAAAAAATGCTTGTTCGTTAAAAAATTCATATTTAGAAAATGAGACAAGATTTCTCTGACGTGCAATAGAACTTACTATACATAAAACGAATATAAAACGAAAATTATCTGATAATTACCTGCACGTGGTAGTACTGACTGGCCGACATTGTTCAACTGAGCTGTAAAAAAATATTACATTAAACTATAAAATATTTCTATAATTTTATAGAACTGAATATAAAATTAAAATATAAGTGAAACAAGAGTTGATGTATTCTACCTTTTGCTATACATGTTTTATAAAAAGTATTATGAACTTTAATTACATAATTTTCTACCAATACCGAGCACGAAATTATAATAGTTTTAAATTATAAGTAGTACATTATATTAAAATACATTGTATTATCCGTGATGAAGTTCTCATCGCAAAAGAGAAGTAATATCATTTTTTATGTTTGTGTATTGATATTATTTTCATCGTAGGAGTTTCATAGTTACGATTGAAACAATTTTATAATGACAAATTAAGAAATATAATGTTTTCGCTTTTCTGCTTCGGTGTCTCGTTAATAACTTTAGACGCCACCTATTGCGTGTCGCTAGTACCTAGTTTCGAGAGACGACAAATAGTTCCATACAAAGAGAGAATAATCACGCGCTAACGATAAGATAGGTTCGACTGTGTATCTAAATTTCACGCCTGACAGATATTTCTAATTAGGAAGTAATTTGCCTGTAAACTGGAGCATAATCGCAAAACAGGAAGTTTCATTATTTTTTAATTGCGGTTATTGCATTGTTGTAGCATTATAATACTACAAATAGTCATATGAAATAACTAAACAAGTAATAACAAGCATATTAAAAGTGAAATAAAATAAACAATTTCTCTGCCACGTATCCTACAACTATTTCGTTTTATAATTAATGAAAACAGAGACATATCTGCAAAATGGAAGTAAAATCGAGTAAAATTATTCTACACATTACACATAGAATATTATCATACATACAATTAATGGAGCACACTTTAAAATATAAAAATATGTATTATGAAATTAATTGTTAGACTGATTTCTAAATGAAAAGTGAATAGCATACAAATATCATTCATGTTTACACTAAAGTTCTTTCCAACTGTTCACGATGATATAATCTCATTCCGTATGCGAGGCATTAATTTCATGAAACGTCAATAGCATGAGTCATCTGGCGTTACTATATAAATACATACAGTTTAAAGTTTTTTTTATTCAAATATAATCATTGCTTCGTGACTTATACCTCGACTGCAATAGAGAGATGAAAATCATTTTGCGTAAAATATTTAAACAATCTATTGTAATACTATAAAATATTTCTGACATCGTTGTTAGTTTTTCAAAATATCTCAAAAACAAGTGTTTAACAAAGTGTTCATAAAAAATTATATGCTGAATATATTAGATAATTTGAGAGTAAAATGATTTATGTGCACAAGAGAAAAGTAAACAAGTATATGCGATGAAACATGATAGTTTCCTTATTACGAAGTAACGTCTTGTCGAAGGTCGCGATCGATCCGGAGACGCTCCCCATTCCAGGAATTTGAAAAAAAACACGTTATCCGGGTCAACAAGAATGCTGTCTTTTGTGAATGAAATTAATATTATCACTAAAATTTCCTTTCGAAGCTCAATAAAAAATAAATTTGTACTTAGAAATACCCGATAAAAACCTCACGTTTCTGTAAAAAAAAAATATGTAATTGCAAAAAATCACTCGTTCGAATAATACAAACACTTCTAACGAGATATTTATTGTGCTATTCATATTTCAATTACAACGAATACAACTAAAACAAGTATACTCCAAAGCTTTGATACAATGTTTATTAAATTCCGTCGATATAGAATTGTTGTACAGATGCTGGCGTAGCGAAAAATACTTTTAACATCTACAGATGAATGTTAAAAATATGGATAAACGCGTTCGAACGGTTACAGGATCCTTTAACCCAGAAACTAGTTTCACGTCACTACGAGGCAGTTAAACGAACAAATGATCTCATCAAGTTACGCAAATACCTTCGAAAGCAACGATTAATCTGTCGGAGTGAAACGTACCACGCCGTGTGCCAAAACCCGATCCTATTGAGATTCGAAAGTTTTGTATTGATCGGTAATGAAGAGGAAACTACGCAGGGTGTGGCTTCTACCTTCTTCCGAAGTGATAGCAGATTCAATTGGATTGTCTTCCCGGTACTGGTGCTGGTTTCGCACGGTCTTCGTAACCGACTGAAGCGAACTGGACTCACGTCGCAAGTATTCTTCGCTGGCGTGGTGGGAGCATCAAACCGGGGAATGTGTATCTACACGGATGGTATGGGAAACGTCGTTTGACAATGGAACAGAACACGCGATTCGTGCATTCCTGCCCGCGAAATGTGTAACGTACAAAATTAAACAATTACGTTAACCATCTCCGTAACATCAAATTTCTCCAACATTTTATCCTTAAAGTTTGCGTGATTATAATTGTTGAATATTTATTTAGCAAATAAACACAACAGAGTTTCGACCTAAGTATGCATTTAATTAATGTAGTTAGCAGAAAGCAGCATTTTCGTTTTGTAAAATTACATTAATTATATACATACTTAGGTCGAAACTCTGCTTATTTAGCAAATAAATATTCAACGATAATATTTTTTAAACTGTATCCATTCGCACGTAGAACGAGGCACAAATACATTTACGATAATATTCAAGGCAGAGTGGATCTTGGGTCATAAAAGTTTGGAAACCTAATTTATTATTATGATACTCATAATATTTCGAGACGGTTTGAAAGAGGCGATAACGAAATCATTTACTCGTATTCCAACTGCATAGTCTTTGAAACTTGTTATTTATAAACGTTACGCATGACTGTATAGCTTTCTATATCCAATATTCAAATTTTAACGGTGGACATCCAGCTTCGAGATAAATTTTAATGCGATAACAATGTTTATTTTGACCCACGGATTCGAGTGTGCTTTGTCACATTTCGCGTCTACGTATTGTACTCCATTACTATGGCAGACGCAGCTTGAACCAGTCGCTCGAAGCAGGCAAGTTAATCCCACCAATCGTTTGGTTGCTCGTTCTTATTTTCGCATCGTCTGCCTCTCACTATGGTGCCACGTAAGTAACGATACTGTACGAGGTGCTTCCTAAAGCGATTCAGAGTTTTCTGGTTCTACTGTCATTTTTCGTATTGAAACTGAGTAACATTAATCGAAGTCTATTAATTGAGAAAAGTGCTTCGTAAATAATAAAATTACTTGATGATACTGTTCGACCTTTTCGATACTGCGTGCCACTGTAATTGGATTCCTGATAAACGATAGCTTGGGTCAAAACATCACTATAGCGGCTTCCCGCTGATCGGTTCAGTAGTTCTCATATAATTTTTACCATATGTTAATGAATGGAAATTCTGTTATTAGATACTGCAACAATCACTTCGTATACAGTGAATTACGTAGTATATTAGCGAAACTAGAAGCCTTATATTGAGTTATGAGATAAGCAAAATTAAAATGACTATATCTTACTACATTATCGTGTTCTTTAGAATTGTTTAAACTTGAAACGTAGTCTTGACAGAGCATACTATGAATGTTAATAGCAGTTATGTTTAACTAGAAAAAAATTTCTAGTAAAAGTAACTAGATTCGCTTAATGTATATGCAATGTCTTTATGGAATTTGAATGATTTTTACGAAATAAATGAAACAACCTATACATAATAACATTCCATCTCATTTCAAGCATAAGTAATTACACTATAATTAATGCAATCGTGAATAGTTGAAACGTATAATCGTCGTGTTATTGCAATTACTTTTTTACACAATATTTGATAAAAAAGAACAATTTCGTGATTACAGTATTGGTATTATATTCTACTTTTCTTCTATAATTTTCTGTACTGTTCAAACACCTTTAGCTTTTGAAAAAGTTTTACTCCGAGTTCTACCGAGGTATACAAACGCATCTATGACGAACGGTCAAGTACAACTTTTGCTTTACCTTTTCGCCCCACTGAAACTTTATCGAAGCACCCTTACGATCACTATCATCAACTTTGAAAACTACTCGATCACTACCGTTCGCGAATGAGCAAAGATTGAACGTTGTTACGTGTTTCGCGTACACTAGTCGTAGAATCACGAATCAACTATATAAAGAAGTCCTCTGGTGGGGATGCAATGTACAGTAAAGTGATGACGTGGAAGACAAAGAGGATGAAGGTGCAATAAAGATGAAGAGTCCCGACTACCGTTCGCCGAATTCACGCGATACAAGATTCACAAGAAATAAGGGCAAGGTGATGGTCGTGTGATTCATCGCGTAACAGGGGTTATCATTGGTACTTACTCTTCGAAGACTAGGTGACACGAGATTTTGTCTATGGCGGATAAAAAGTATGACGATTGCAGGAACGAGACACGAAACCGTTGCTCCGTTCGCTTAGCAACCACTTTTCTCGTAGACGCTGCTGCCAACGACGTAACCACGCAGCGAAAACATTTCCGAGCGCCACGACCTGCTTATTATACCGTTTGAAAACGACGGTTCCATGAAAGTTCTTTTTTTTAATCGTGTAATTTATTTGCAGATTAAATGATTGTCCATCAAGTAGAAACATTGTACATATTTAATTTTAAATCGTTAGTAATAGGAGTCAGATTTAGTCATCGAATGGCAGGGTTGAGTTAACTTGTTCAATTATGATTCATACGGCATCTACTATTCATACTTGGGTGAATGAAAGCTGTATTATGAAATGTTCGTATTTGAAATGCGTTACGCAGAAATATACGTGATTCATGTCATACTTTTACGTGTATTTGTGTCGATGCGTAACTACACGCAAAGCTACTATGATAAAGCATAATTAAAGATCAATACAGCAATTTGAAGAAATATAATTCTACCCTTAAAATTACAGAAATTCATATACACATAATTCTACATACAATAATTAACATTATTTTAACAATTAGTTAAGTTAGGATTATTATCATTCATGTTGGAACATTAATCAGATCTTATTAATTTTACACCAAGTATATATATGTAATATACTATAATTTTGTAAATATATTTGAATTTAAACAAATTTTTCCTTATTCTTAGAATAACAAAAATGCGCTAATGTATGAAACATTGCTGGATGTGCCATCCTAAGTTGAAGAATCGTACTATTTCTCGATATACTTGGACGTTTTGCCATAGATGGCGTATCAAGTATATTCGTGAAACAGTAAATTATTTTTTATTATAAAAATAAGCTTTGGACTAGGTTTATTAAATAGATGAACATATATAATCTGAAATTAATGTATATTATTCTTAACGCCGATAGATCAAAGAATTAGTACACAGGGTTACTACAGACAGTCACAATATTTAATTATTATAACAAATGTAGTAACTTGAGCTACGTTTTTTCCATAAAATTGTGTGTTAATTAAATTTATTCGTTCTGTGTGCTTTATAACTGCCTATTAGAATATTTTCACAAATCTATTCTATGAATTTTTTAGGAATGTGTAAGGTAAATAGAGCGGGAAGCCTGTTCCTCATTTCATCGTGAAACACCTGGTCGCTTTAGATTAGTACCTAAATTGTCCGCCAGATGATGTACTTTCTCGCTACAAGAAATCCAACTAGAAACTATTAGAGGGTAGCGTGATGGAGCATTCGTTACTCTGGTTTCCCTTCAAATCACGCATAAATCTTTCGCCTTTTACTAAAGATTTCCGTGGAGGGGAACAATTGATGAGTCTATATAATAATTTTTTGTAGTACCCGACGAAAGTTGGGTCATTATAAATATGAAAACAAAATTTTTCAGGAAAATACTGGACTGAAATTTTATATCAGTGAGCGTAGTATAATTTCTCCTTTCATTCATATTCCACATTTTTATGATCGGTTTGTTGTATGAAGTTTCTATAACTCCAACCTTGATTATACCGAAGAAGTCTTTTTAATAATTCTGAAGGACTTTTTCATGAGCTTTCTTCGTAGGTTTTTCAGTAATATATACGCCACTTTCTACGAAATTCCGTATAGAGACAACGAGTATTTATAGATTAACCTACATCAATCATAGTGTGCATCACTAATAAATTTCGTATGGGAATCTGATCATTCAAAGCATATTTAACAATTTATAATGATAAGACTAGTTTTTACATAATAGAATATGAATTTATATAATATTTTGAAAACGCCATGCTTGGAAATAAATTCGTTATCATTATAAATTTTAGATAATTGTATGTATAAAAATTGCAATAAAAAAAAGATACTTTCTTTACGGATCATGCAGGCCCCGGAGGGATTCGAACCCTCGATCTCCTGTTTACTAGACAGGCGCTTTAACCAACTAAGCCACGGCGCCATTGTGTCCATCGTTTTATTATTTTAGTATAACAACTACGGCCTTCTAAAAGAACAGAATATTTATATTTTTACAGACATACAATTCGTACTTTATATATTTATAATGTAAACTTAAACATTTGCACATAAACTTAAACGTTTGTACAGTTGTAAAATGAAATACGTGTACGCGTGTAATTACTACGCAGTTATATTTATTCAATATTTGTCTATAGTGTGCGTTGTAAAATTAAATCATTGCGTCTATTATAAATAATACTAAAATAAAATAATGATTAAAGATTTGTATTAAAAGGAAAAAAGAAATCCAACTTGGAGGCGCCGGGCATCGATCCCGGTACCTCTCGCATGCTAAGCGAGCGCTCTACCATCTGAGCTACGCCCCCGTTCTTACAACTGTTTAAAATTTTGTAATTTCAGTTAAATTATTGTTATTCATTCACAAATATTTCTATGAAAGGGTATAGCCGAATAAGGGGGTCAAATGTGCCCTTGAACCAAATTTGACATACGATGGATCCATCGATAGAGCATCAAAAAAAAACATTCTGTACCAAATTTGAACCCTCTATCATGTTCGGAAGGGTAGTTATTGGAAAAATTCGGATTAGCGAATTTGTGCCTATTTCCCCTATTTAATCGAGTATGAAAATTATGAAAAAAATTTGGTGCATTGCTACTATTGAGATACGTGTTTGAGAATTTTTTCCGTTTTTTCGATTTCAAATCCTAGGTGTGAAAAATTAAAAACGCAAAAAAACGCAGAAAAATACCGATTTCGTATTGAAGCTTTCGAGACACTAGATTTATATAGTTACTGTAAATGCATATTGTCATTGGTTATGTCCCTGAATTTTTTCAGATTTTTTGGCAGGGTGCGCCGTAGTAGCAAAAATGAAAAACCGATTTTTTCGGCGTTTTTCGCGTAAAAAAGCAACATATACTTTGAATTTTTGTATTCCCTTTAATAGATAACTATATTCTGTGGTTCTAAACATTTCCATGTTGAGTAAAACAGTGTATACAAGAAGAAAAGCAAAAATAAGTCAAGAAAAAAAACGTGCTATGCGCGTTGTATTCAGAAGTATCAGCATTATTTCCAAGAGCTGCGATGGTGCAGTGAGTAAGATGCTTGGCTGCGAGACTGCTGCAAACTTTTTGACGCGCGTTCGCGCCCTGCTATGGTACATTTTTTTTTTATTATATTAATTTTTTTTTTTTTTTCAATTTCTAACTAAACGACAATGAAAAACTATTAGTTTATTAATATTTAAAAAATATTTTTACCTAAAATATACGCAAAAACAATTATGGAGCAGTTTCTATTCCATCATTTCTCTAGTCGTATATTTGCTTAAATACCCTACTGTTTCATTTTTTCTACGTTAAATGAATATACGTACTTAGTTTTAAAATCGCATACCTTTAATAACTGAATAGTGGAAGAAGATTTCTTCAATAAAAAGAATATTAGCAGTCTTTGCATATAGTTACGGATATCATGATGACAAGATTTATGATGTGCAAGGTTTATGAATGTTTACGTCTATTGGCAGTCTAAATTACTTATTTTAGACGAGAAATTGTTCTCTTATTATCCATTTCCGTTACACATGTCCACATTTCAACAAAGGCGAATATATGTACCGTCAAAAATAAGTGCTAACTGGTCTGTTATATTATATAACTGTTTAGCAATAATGGACGTTTCATTTTCTATTAAATGTTGACGAGAAAAAGCCGCGACTCCGAAATGATATGGTAAAATATCTTTTTCAAACGAGTTCCTAACTGCTTTACAAAAATCGGATACCTGTTGTTCGCGCTCTAGCCCAAAAATTGAAGCTATCATACTATTCGAATTTCCAGTACGCAATTTAAATAAAAAGACAACAATAGCCTGTGTCACAGCTCGTTTTTCCGTATTTCTCATGGACTTCATCATTTCTCTAAGTTGAATTAGATTTTCCCAAGTTAATCCCGTGAATATTTTAAGACGTTCTTCTGATAATGTAAAATCACCTATTTTATCTTTAATACTAGAATCACTACTAACTGCAAGGTATTCGAGTAAGAGAAATAAGTAATTTAGACTGCCAATAGACGTAAACATTCATAAACCTTGCACATCATAAATCTTGTCATCATAAATCTTGTCATCATGATATCCGTAACTACATATATGCAAAGACTGCTAATATTCTTTTTATTGAAGAAATCTTCTTCCACTATTCAAAGTTATTAAAGGTATGCGATTTTAAAACTAAGTACGTATATTCATTTAACGTAGAAAAAATGAAACAGTAGGGTATTTAAGCAAATATACGACTAGAGAAATGATGGAATAGAAACTGCTCCATAATTGTTTTTGCGTATATTTTAGGTAAAAATATTTTTTAAATATTAATAAACTAATAGTTTTTCATTGTCGTTTAGTTAGAAATTGAAAAAAAAAAAATTAATATAATAAAAAAAAATGTACCATAGCAGGGCGCGAACGCGCGTCAAAAAGTTTGCAGCAGTCTCGCAGCCAAGCATCTTACTCACTGCACCATCGCAGCTCTTGGAAATAATGCTGATACTTCTGAATACAACGCGCATAGCACGTTTTTTTTCTTGACTTATTTTTGCTTTTCTTCTTGTATACACTGTTTTACTCAACATGGAAATGTTTAGAACCACAGAATATAGTTATCTATTAAAGGGAATACAAAAATTCAAAGTATAAGTTGCTTTTTCACGCGAAAAACGCCGAAAAAATCGGTT